GTGGAACCAACCTTCGAATCTCTTCACCAAACACTTCTACTCGAAATGGAAGTAAGCTCAACAATTATGAAACAAGAGATTCCTCGAAACCCAACTTTTCTTCATATTTATTTGCACAGCTCACCATTACAGGTAAAATGTATACACTACATTACCAGATTTATCAATATCATCATTGACTCTATACTTAAGTTCACATCTAGGAGCCAATTCATGGTCACAATTACTGAAAAAAATCACTCTATAAATTCACGTTTTTATACCTTTCATTTACTAGACAAATGATGGGTTGAATCGACCTTTCTAGAAGCCGAAACTGACATTGTGCCACTGTGGCATTGTCATTGTCAAAGTGGAAAAGTCATCTTTCAGAAGGCTTCCCCAATCGCCAAGAGATGAAAAGGAATTGAACGAAATCACGCCTACTGGGGCATCTCGTAATTTGTTTGACAATTTCATGCTTATACGATAGCGAAGTAGGCACAATTGCGCCAAAACGCAAGGTTTCCCACCAAAATCACTCACTTTTATATGCTCAAGTGTGAATGGGTAGAGTGTTGTATGCATGCAGTGCTCACGAGGCATGAGAACTCTAATCTCTTGTTGTATAGGCTCCATTTTCTACCCTCATTCTGGTCAGCCAATCTTGTGTCCTGGATCCAAAAACCGTTGCATGCTGTTTTATGTTTATATGCCCTCTTACGGACAGGTCGGCATGTCGCCCCGGCCCAAAGGGTATCAGATACACACATACAAAGTGATCTGAAGAGGAGACCTCAAAGTCTGCTATACAATCTAGCTTTAATGTATCATTCTATACTCCTGGTACCCGCTTACTTTGCTCTTATTGACTTGATAAAATAACGGTGTGTAAATTAGGATCCCTTTCGTAGGTAAATTCAATCAGTAAACACAAACGATATACTGCCGGTCGGGAGCCTTAATTTGGGACATAATTTATCAATAAGATGATGCAGGCCTTGTTGCTGCCTCCGTGTCCTCATTGTTCTGGTTGTAGGAAGAAGAACTTGGGTTTGGCGTCCCATCCATCATCAGGCCTCAGTGACGTGACACATAAACAGATCTATTGGTAGTCCTGAAGGCCTACTTATAAACAAAAAATAAGTAGTGTAGTCGATTGAAATGGCAAATACGAATTTGCTTTGTCCTTATTCCCAGCACAGAATGTGATATTGAAAAATGCCTGGCCTTCCTGTAAACTCACATCTGCCCTGTGACCCGAGAGCATTCGTGACAATGTGACGTAGTGGTTAATGTGCCGAGACTACAGGCTGCCTTCTCATGGTTAGAATCCCGCCGTGAGTGTTAATAAAACCTAGGCCAGGTCAAAACTGCAATCCATCCTGAATGCGAAGACCTTTTGGGAAAGGAAGGCTATGTGAAATTCAATTGGAACGTCAGCTCTACTCCCAGTCCCCTTGTCACCTTAAATGGAATAGGGTGAATACATCTCATCTAAATGATCTACTGATAGTTTCGAAAGCCTACTTATAAACGCAAAAAGGCCTTCCAAACACCCTATGTCGGAACAATAGACGAACGAGTGAGAGTTTTCACAAATCCTAAATAAAGGCTCCAGGGTTCGATTCTGCTGAAGAGATCAAAACTTCAGTCCAGTCTGGACTAGCAAATACCTTTTGGGCATCAAGGCCTTTGGAAAGTGAAGCATGCTCATTTGATTGTGAGAACATTCAACAATCAGTCTTTCGTCACTTTATAAAATCTGGAGTGACTGAAATTCTTAGACCGAGCCATTCACCCCCTAAGGACATAGGAAACGTGTCTCGCTGAGGCTTTTCTCATTGCATGTACAAATTGAACGGTTTGTATGATTCTACGTTTACCCATTTGAATGGTCCTTCTATTAAAGTCACGATTGTCGCTAACCTTAATTTGGACAGAGTTGTGCCGCCCCCGAACCCACAGAGTCAGGGTTCGAGCCCGGCTGAAGAGGCTCGAAGTGTTGGCGCCTTCGGGACGAGAATAGCTCTTTTTGATGCATTAAGTTGCGTGCAACTCATTGCGAGAGCTAGCCTCCTCTTTACTGCGTCATTCGTAGATTTGTGGTCAGCCCAATAGAACCATTTAAAGGGATCGTTGGTAACATCATCGAGACTCATTCTGGCAAAAGTGATGACGATGTCTCGATCCGGCGTTAGCGCATTTTTGTAAACATGCAAGCGAATGCTAGCTGAACTCTGCCAACCGTTAATCTGCCGGCTGTCCCCTTCGTGATTTATCCGTCGCTTTTCCACTATTCGAACCCAGGATATGTAGAC